AGTCCGAACTTACCGCGGGTCCAGACGCAGCAGGCAGGCTCCCCCGTCGATGCCGCGTACTCCTCTCGCCGAGCTGGAGTACCGGCGTCGACGACGAGCACTTCCGGGATCGATTTATCACGTCTAGACAAGACGCGATAAATCGATCCCAGAAGATCGATTGCCTGCCGCCGAACCAGGAAGTAAGTGTAGACGTACCCCAAGAGATGGAGAATCCCACCACTTCCACTAGGAGTTTGTTCCAGTGGTTAGTCACTCTGTTAAACTTGTGCCCTATTTCTAGGTTGAATTTGTCTGGCTTCAGCTTCTAGCCATTGGTTTCGGTTATGCCTTTCTCTGCTAGATTAAAGAGCCCTTTAGTACCCAGTATTCTTACCTTGTGAAGGGATTTATACACTAATCAAGTCACCTCAATTTTTCTTTATGATAAATTAACCAGACTAAGCTCTTTAACGCTCACTCTAAGGCATTTTCTCCAGCCCTGGAATCATTTTTGCAGTTCTTCTGCGCCCTGTCCAATTGTTTGTGGTTTTTTTAAGAAGTAAACACCAGAACCTTATGCATTATTCCAGAAGCGGTCACACCAATGCCATACAGAAAGATCACCTCCCTACTTATTTCTCCCTCATTTAAACATCCAAGGATTGTACCAACCCTTTTTGCTTGATTAATAAGATGGTAACAAAGAAAAACACAAGTTTGATGCACAGAAGGGCACTGTTAGTACACTTTGTTCGTTACCAAAATAAGTCAGTAGTAGTTGTAAGGAAATAAATTTTTGCAGTCTGTTAATTATTCTGTAATTGACTCACTGACGACTGTGATTACACAATGCTGTTCTGTAGCACACTCCATGTATGGAGGGCAGCATTGTTTGAAGAATAGCTAACTGTCAGATCAGTAGTATGGTACTAACTAAACACAGCAAGGCTCTAACCAAACAAAACTGCTAAGAACAGCTCTATACTGTTTTTCTGGCTCTGTCTGACTCACTGTGGGTGAGTTTACTTAATTTCCCTATCTGAGAGACAAGAATATTTAATCCTCAAATCATCCTACCTTCTTTATAAGGGAGCTTATATTTTCAAAGTGCTGTAAAAACATTAAGTGGGAAAAAGCTAGTAAGATAGACCCTTGACAAACAAATAAGAGCTCAGTATAGGAAAATTTAATTTAATTGTATCTAAAATATTTAAATAACTCTTCTGCCACTTTCAGATTAGGTGTTTAATTCTGGACAACATCATAAACGAGAAACAATATGAAAGATTTTTGAAAACAAAATACTTCCCATTATTGAAGCTACAGGTGATGAACACTCACAGAGTGAAAGAATTAGTGGATTACCTTGTCAACAAGAGCTGGTAGGTTAACAAGGTGTAGTATGGTGGTGCACTGTAGATAAAATTAGAAAAAACTCCTATGGAAGTTAGAATCTTACAGTATTTACTGTAACTTTTTTGTTTACTAGGACTCTTGGATACGGTGTGCTGGTAAGTCACTAGAGTTTTACAAGCACTGACAAATGTTTTTTCTTTAAGGTGACTAAGAAATCCTCCATGCTCCCTGGCACTCTACTTACAGTGCTGGGGGCATTGTCTGAAAGTAATGGATCACTTATTTGGTAAAGTTATTTGTACCAAACTTCAGGAGTTGGCATTTTGCTCCTTGACTCAATAAGACTTGGACATGTGTTCTATTGAGATGGAAAGAGTAAGCTTACTGAAAGTTTCACAGAACAGCAGTTTTCAAACTGCAGACTATGAAACAGCCTATTGAGCTGACTGGTCACATGGGACTGGCTCTCTGGGGTTTTTTTATGGAATTTAGCAGCGGTAAACAAATATTTACTCTCCCAGATGAGCAACTATATGTGCCACAGTGTTTTGTGATCACAAATGGGTGAGGCTGCGTGTCTGTCAGATTCCGTGACTTTCTGTGACCGCCACGGTGGCTGGCTCCGGGGCTGCCCAAGCAGCTCAGGCAGCCCCAGGGCCAGCCGTACCAGCCGCTGCTGGGCCAGTCGCAGGCCACCGTGGACCCTCCCTCTCTGCAGCAGTTTAGGTGTGGGAGGGAGCTCAGGGCTGGGGCAGAGGGTTATGGTGTGGGGCAGCACTTACCTCAGGGGGGCTTCCTGGAAGCGGCAGGCATGTCCCTGCAGCTCCTAGGTGGAGGGGCCAGGGGGCTATGCTCCCTGCCCCTGCCTACAGCCACCATCCCAGCAGTCAATGTGAGCTGCGGAGCTGGCGCTCGTGGCAGGGGGCAGGGCATCAAGCCCCCCCCACACACACACGGCCTTCCCTCCCCCTAGGAGCTGCAGAGACATGCTGGCTGCTTCCAGGGAGCTGCGCGGAGCCAGGTAGGGAGCTTGCCAGCCCCACCAATCCTCCTCTCTCCCCCAGCACCAGCAGGGGTCCCAGACCACCATCCCAGGCCACCACCTCAGGGCCCAAGTTTCAGTTAGGGCTATATAGTACAAGTCATGGACAGATCACGGGTTGTGAATTTTTGTTTTCTGCCTGTGACTTGTCCATGACTTTTACTAAAAATACCCATGACTAAAACTTAGCCTTACACATGGATAGAAATCCACTGTAAGTCTAAACTCCTGCTATAGGGTATAGCCGGTGTTGGCTTTTCGTAAATAACTAGGTTTTAGGGAGACCTTTTTCCCTTCCAGGATTATCTACTGAAAAGGGGTAGAGAAAAATAGTCAAAACTCCTGTTAGGCCTTCAGGGCAGGGGTGGCCAACCCGTGGCTCCGGAGCCACATGCAGCTCCTTGTATAGGCACCGACTCTGGGGCTGGAGCTACAGGCGCCAACTTTCCAATGTGCCAGGGGGTGCTGACTGCTCAACCCCTGGCTCTGCCACAGTCCCTGCCCCCATTCCTCCCCTTCCTCTGAGCCTGTCCTTCACCACCCCTCCCCGAGCCTCCTGCACACCACAAAACAGCTGATCAGGAGGAAGGGGGAGGTGCTGATTTGGGGGGGGGGGGGGGGGGGGGGGGGGGGGGGTTGTGGTTGGGGGGGGGGGGGGGGGGGCTGGTGACATTACTGTAGCTCTTTGGCAATGTACAGTGGTAAATTCTGGCTCCTTCTCAGGCTCAGGTTGGCCACCCCTGCTTTAGGGAATTGGAAAAGAAGAAGAGAAATCACAAAAACTTTGTTTATATGCATTGTTTTATAGTTAAATGCACATTGTCTAGATTCTCTGCATTGTAGAGTATTATGGGAATTGAGGGAGATTAGTTTTGTCAGCTGTGAAACCAACTTTATTTTGTCCTTTACAGCATGGATGATGCAGCAGCCCTAATAGTAGAATATCAGAAACGATGTGGAAATCCCATTCTGGCAGATAGATCATCTTGTGATATTTTGAAGGTAAAAGGCTTTAGTTATCCGACTTATCTTGGTTTAAAGAGAAAATACTGAAACCTAAGACATTCATTCAGACTAAAGAACAACATGCTCTTAGACCAGTTAAAGACTCTCCTATATTAGTTATTTTTCTATTTTAGTATCATTTCATGGTAGAATTCTAAGTTTCAAATATGCAAATAAAATCTATGCAATATTTCTTATATAAAAAGGGAACTTTATGCCTATTTCAATGCTCCTATCCCATTTTCCTATAAACGTATCCTTTTGTAATACTTCTATTCCTATAAAAAGTTACTAAGCTCTTCTGTGTTCCTCTTTTCTTCCCCTCCAGATGTTTCTGAGTGGACCAGAGTAGACTTCTGCATTTTCTTACTGGAAACAGCTATCCCGAGGAGCATAACTTGATCTATATCCCTTCTCTTCCAGGGGCAAGATTGTTTCAAACTGTATTGGTCACATGCATTGTGTTTAAAGGGGAACTAAGCTGAAACCTCCTAAGTACCCTTTCAACAAAAGTTACCATTCACATTTTTTTTTTTTAATTGCTCCTGGCTAACAGACATTCACATTAGTTTAAGTGTGCTGTCTCATGTGAAGGAGTTAAAGGCTTCCCTTACATTGTATGACCGCTTTCTTCTCTTCCACTTCCCCCTCCCAGACAACTTGGTTTAATCTCAGCACTTCAATACTGGAAATAATTAAGTGAGAATTTTAAACTTCACTTCCTTTCAAGAGTTATATGAAGTCATTGCTGTGGCTTTCTAATTTCTCCTCAATGTCAGGCTTTTTTGCTTTGTTTTTTAAACAACCTTTCCTAGTCTCAAATCCTATTAAGATAAAATTCACTTTGTAAGCTGTGTGATAAGGATTTCTAAACAAGATTGTAAATGTTAGTGTATCTTATGTAAAATATTTTGTAGACTTGGTTTTCATTCAAGGATGGACACAAATAAAAACAGACAAGCTCAAATTTTGAACTTAACTTAGAAAATACTAATGTTTGTAATGTAAACTAACTAAGACATTCTCCCCAGACTTTCTATACATGCTACTTGAATAGGGTAAATTGATACTGATTTCAGTGAAATTAATATTTTAGATAACTTCTCTAAAACCAACTGTGTGTATAAACAAACAATTTAACTGCCATTGTTTTATTGTGACACTATTCTTTCTTTGAGACAAAAGTATATGGATGAATTCCTCCAAAGAAAACTGAGTACCTTCCTAAAACTGAGTGGAAACATGCCAATCAACCGAGCACACTTAAAATAGATACAACCAACCTGTGCCCTTATATCTTTAAGACCCATGTATATATTCTAGTAATATCATACTAACAAAAGTAATAACCAGATGGCCGTTTAATTAATCTAGCAATAGTTCTGTTTTTCAGCTGTCAGCTAATGCAGACTGAATAACACAGTAAAACAGATAAGGGACTAAGTTGAATAAGTGTTATACCAGCTGAGTGAGGAGAAGGAAATTAGAAAAAGCTTTGTGCTTGCGTCATACTAAGCCGTCTAACAAATTGAGTTATAAGAAGATACACCTACAATAAATACTCTCAGCACTTGAAAGGAGAATCACTCTCTTTCGTGGAAAAGCAGTTTCTTGTAAAAACAGTGAGCTATTCTAGTGTAGCAAGCCACTCTCAGAATGCAGAGAAAAAGATGCTTGCTGTTCTTTATGAAACAAACATCAATAATACTCTACAAGAAACGCTGCTATGGCTCCCTTTCTTAGTGGGATAATTACTACAAAATGGCAGGCATGAGCAACAGAAGCTACCCTACTATGTGGAGCTTGGGTTGAGTGGTTTCAGCTGAGAATAGGAAATCCACAAGTCCTAGTATTTCAAAACCAATTTTTGGGGTCTAAATAAATGAACTATGGTCTTCAACTTTCTAAAGATGAGCAAGTCAAGTGAAACTAAACTGTCTAAACTCTTGTATACAGATGGGACCACTTCTATATAAACTGAGGTTAACATTTTATCTTGATTTACTTTTTCCTTTAAATCTGGAGTAAGTAAGGCAAAGCTAATCAGATGGTCATTGGTTAAACTTGAACAAGTAATTGAAGACAGTTTGTGTATGCTCCAAAACTGTCATGCAGTGCTTTAGAACTAGTTTGATTTCATAGAGAAGTTGTACTTTAAGTAACAGAACCTTAACATTAGTTTTATCCTGGTAATTTCAGGAACAGTACTAAATCATTTTACTCTTGCTCTTGGCTTAGACACTAATCTGAGTGAGAAATATTAAATATGGTTTAAAACAAACATGTTATGGCTCACTTCTTACGGTTTGTTCACACATGCTTCATTTTAGCTATTCCAGAATAATTTTGTGCGGCCACTTATTCTGGAATAAGTGCCAGTTCCAAAGTGGATTAAACTAATTACAAATAATAAACTCATTCCACCACATAGGGCATATTTCAGAATAGCAACTGCACTCTAAATTCACACCCTACTTTAATTCAGTTTAAGTTTCACAGGTTAGACGAGTCTTTTGCTGTCAAGAGGCTTCAGCTAATTTTTTTCTAAAAATGGATAAATTACTTTAAATTCCATTAAATGTGCAGGTTCTGTAAATGCTATTACCAAAAGTAGAGTACTGTCACAAGCTTATGAATAATTCAGTATATTTCAAAAGAATTTCAACTGTTACACGTAACTTTGCCTTAATGGTTTATCATTCAAAATATATTTTATATAAATAAAACCTGACTGATTGAAAAACAAGTTTTATTACAACATTAAAGGTAGTTATTTAACAAGACTGATTGTACACCTAAGGCATTTTGCACCATAACAGGATATTTTACAAGCTGAACCATACATAGAAAACAAGCAAGAATGTGCCATTGTTTGGAAGCTATGTATTATAAACTAGTTACACTGCTATAGGCTACAAGCAGTTAGCAAGTGTTTAATACTGCAAACAATCAAATATTGCAGACAGTTTGTGGTTCTTGAATGCTCAGTTACTTGACTAGAACAAGAGGGAATGAGATGGTAAAGAGCACCAGAAGATTCATTTTAGGGTTTTTTGTACTCAATTCTTTCTACTTTCACATCATCTCCAATTAGTTGATACACATAGGTCACTACTGTGGAAGCTTGGATATCCATCAGCACAAATGAAGGAATGATGTTGCTGGAAAGAAAAACTGATTGTTAATATCAGGTAATTATAAAACTCCAACATTAGGTATTTCTCAAAGCTAGATTCCTTAATGAGTTGCTCCAAGGAATTTGAATTTTATAAGCATGATCTAACAAAAAGTTGGAAAACAAGACTAGATATTTCAACAAACTCATCTTAAGCAAATGGATTTAGAAGGTATTGTAGGAAAATCTTTGACACCAACAGCACAATGTGTTTTGGTTATCTAGCAAATAACCCTAAAAATTAACTCATGCACAGCAGCTGTTTCCTCTGTTAATCCCCCAGCAGTGATGTTAACTATCTATTCAACCTGACAAAGATTAGGAAGGCTTTAGTTATTACTTTCTAGTCTGTGTGCACAGGAAAGAGGCAGCAACAATAAAAACACACACATGCTGAGCAGCTGTTTTCAACCTTTTCTTTTCTAGACCCAAACCTTTGAGAAGTGATACAGAAATGCAATACTGAAGTTTCAATAAAAAAAAATTCATGTTAGTGTGGATAAAGCCTGTTAGTATGTATACGGCTTGAAGATAAACATGTATCATGATAACTGGTGTATTAGAACAGTTATTACTGTAAAATTAGTGCTGATGAACAATGATGGGTGTGATATAAAAACCTAGGTAAATAGACAACTGTCCAACTTATTTTAACTCACTTCTCCAAGGCACTATAAGCTCCTGTGGCTGACCCGGGGTTGATGTAGAACTTGTTTTCATGCTCAAATGCCTCAAATTTGTGTGTATGCCCTGAAATTAAAATGTCCACATCAAACTGCCTTTGTAGCAGTGCCAGGCTGGCCATATCTCCCCATGGTATAACTTGATGGCCATGGATCAGCCCAATTTTGAACTGCCCAACGGTTACAACTTTCTGTTCTGGATAATTCAGGTTCTAAAAATTAAAAACAAATATACAACATACAGATTACATATACTGAAACAGACTCCATCTTCAAAGGGAATTAAGTTATTTGCTATGTATTCATATCACACAAAAACCTGCTACTCCTGAGAATGAGCTAGAGACCCTCTTCAACTTAAGTTTTTCTTCACTGAAGAATGCAGAAACTTCTAGCAGGAATACCACACCCAGCCAGAAATCAACTGCATCAAAGCCAACTATGTTGCCTTAAAGGTGGCACCAAGACTGAAAAGCTTATAGAAATATTGAAATAATAAATTTATTATTTACAGTTTCAAAATTAATTTAGAATTACAAAACTGCATCTGACCAAGGAACTTCAACATCTTGGCAACAGCAGCTATTTGATGGCAAATAGGTTCAACTATTTTATTACAATGCTTAATCAAATGTAATTAAATAAACCAAACTACATGAATTCAAGAGTCAGCTTTGTCCTTCTTGGGCATGGGGTAAGAACTAGGCTTAAGTCATTTTACTGGTTATGACTATAAAGTACTGCTTATTTGCTTTTTACCCTGTTCTTTATTAAGTAACTATAACTGTCTCAATTTTGTCCATTTCCTTAAATGGTGTAAAGGGAGTTATAAATAACTCAAGTGTCGGACTGTTTTTAAAAGTCTTTGTAGAGAGGTCATTACCTCATCAAAGTCTCCTCTTACGATGTGAACATCCCCAGCCAAAGTCTTGAGGTAGTCATAGCTCTCCTTGGTGCAGAGGTTTCCGGTGCAGAGGATGTGCTGGATCTTTCCTGGGACCAGCAGTTTTTTGAACTTAGCTGGGAGGTAGTTGCATCGATGTGGGATGTGAAGGTCTCCTAATACTAATACCAGCTTATCAGGTGTCAAGGACAGGAAAAAGAGATAAGAATTACAGAACCTAACTGGAGCCAATAAAAATCAAGAAGCAAGAAATTTGCAAGCTTGGTTATCTTCAGTTTCACAATTCTGCATTTCTGATGCAAAATTATTGAAAAAAGAACTGAAACTGAGCTTATGATTGGGATGTGGGTCTCAAAGTGAGTGATGTCTCACTAAGAGAGTGGTACAGACTGATGCCTTGTCTACACTACAAGGGTTTTGCCAATATAGGTATGGCATTAAAACCCTCTAGCAATAGATGCACTTAATATGAAAGTCCTTGTACTTGTATAATTTATGCTGGTTTTGGGAAATGGCATAACCTATACCAGTACAAGCACAGTTATACTGGTGTAACTGCATCTACAGTCCACCTTATATTGGTTGTTAGTAAAAAAGACACATTCCTGTCAGACATAGCTTAAGTGGTAAAATTTAAGTTTAGACCAGGCCTAGGTTATGGCTACTTCCCTTTCATTATTTCAAGTTTCCCTTTACTTCAGTATTTAATCATTTTGTTTTCCTAAAATGAGTTTGCAGTGTGTCTCAGTGTTTAAACTGAATAAAAAGTTTGTCAAAAGCCAAAATAATAAAACATCTTAGCTTCCATTAGACTGTATCAAGTACATCTTTGTCAAAAAGTTGATTTTAATAGAGCACTGTAAGCTGAACATGAACCAGACCAGAATAGAACTATGAATACACAAAACTATTCAAGAAAATGCTCTATGAAGCATGGTAAGTGCTGACAGAATACAAGTGATGCAATCAACCAACAAGTAATATCTGTTAGTCTATATCTCAAATCTAGGATGTCACCATTATTAAATAAATCACCTGTACTATCATCACACCTTTAATTTGAATAATTGATTACAAAGGTAGCCTACAATGTAATGTCACAGACTTTTTAAACTTGTTATTTAGGAAACAAAATTAATGCAGACAAAGTATCAATAAGCCAAGCTTAATTTGATTATGCAACAACTGTGAAAAGGGTTGTAAAGAAAAAATTGTTACAGGCCACATGAACATCGGATAAAAAGCAAACATTCCTATTATTCTGATAAATAAGTCAATATACTACTTGTTTTCTTCCAAGTGTAGTGTTGTTGATTTATGGTAATACCCAAAATGTAATAACATTGGGCTAGTCTACACTGGCAACGCTTTAACGTGGCTTGTGTAGCCGCGGCAGAGCGCTGGGAGAGAGCTCTCCTGGCCCTAAAAAAACCCACCTCCGTGAGGGGCATAGCTACCAGTGGTGGGAGCGCGGCTCCCGGCGCGGTGCACTGTCTACACTGGCGCTTTACAGTACTGAAACTTGCTGGGTGAGTGTTTTTTCACACCCCTGAGCAAGAAAGTTGCAGCACTATAAATTGCCAGTGTAGATAAGTCCATTGTAAACAAACATATAAGCTGCTCTCCAGACAAATATAAAAGTTAGATATCACTACTTGTAGCTACACTATGAATTAACCATAACCTTGTCTACATTATAAATTTTGTCCTTTGCATTTTATTCCAGCAACCATGCAGCAGCACTCAACAATGTTAACAGAAGTGCAGATAGGGCTCGGGCATTTTTACCAGTGTTGTGAAAGCCTGCTCAGTATAAGGGTACGGCTACACTACTCGCCGGATCGGTGGGTAGTGACTGATCTCTCGGGAATCGATTTATCACATCTCACCTAGACGCGATAAATCGATCCCCGAACGCGCTCCCCGTCAACTCCGGAAGTCCGCCGCTGCGAGAGGAGGAAGCAGAGTCGACAGGGGAGCGGCGGCCGTCGATCCTGTGCCGCGAGGACGCAAAGTAAGTCAATCTAAGTCGATCTAAGATACGTCGACTTCAGCTACGCTGTTCTCATAGCTGAAGTTGCAGATCTTAGATCGATTCCCGCCCCCCAGTGTAGACCAGGCCTAAGTATCCAAACTATGCAAGAGAGGGGAATTGAAAGAATTGGTAAAGTGATACAGAATCTTTAACCTGTGAGCCACCGGTTCAAGTCCAAGTCAGTAGTGATATAAAGCACTTCTTATTTCTGAGACTACCAGAAGAAGTAAGGCCTTCCACTAGTTCCCAGTGGACAGATGTCTTATTACTCCTAAAGATGGTCCCTCCAGCTCAAAAAGGAAGCACAGTGGCAAGACAGTGAAGTTTGCTGGGCTAGTGCCAATGTTAGTGTTGTACCTGTTCACTGGATAGGCCTTCATTCCTCAGGGCTGTTAGGATTTTCACCAGCACTTTGTTTATATTAAAAATTGGATAGGGCAAGGGAGGGAGAAACTTAAATTCTGGCCTTCCTGTGCTACAAATTTTAAAAAAGTGAGCTAACATACTTGAGCTCCCATATTGTTAGAAAATTTTAAAATTTACATTTTAACAATGTTATACCCTCTACATACTGATAGCATAACCATGTTAACTGAAACAGTTTTAAAACAATTTCCTAATATGGCTGATTTTGTAGCATAACTGATTTTGATGGCAACAAAACAATATGTGGGGTCTTTAATCAAGTCTTACAAGATTTACATGCAACACTAGCTAGTTACATATGTAACGCCCTCCCCCAAATTATGCTCTCAGTTAGACACACTCAACCTCGCTGAATTCAATATGTGTTGATGAATTGAGAGAAACCATTTTAGCCCCTAATTCAGATTCAAGTTTCCATCTATCAAGATAACTTGCTAGACTACAACAAGCAGCATTTTCTGCTGTACTAACTGTATCACATTTATCTCTGATAGACACAACAATCATGACAAAAAGCACATAAGAATTTGGCTTTCAACAGAAATTTAGTTGCGGTCTTGACTATGGATTGGCTAGCAGCTATTCCATAATTCATACCTATTTTAACATTTAGTAACATTGACAAATCATCTACCACCAGTGTTAGCAAGAGCCAAGAGGAGTAAACTTACTCTGTGCCCAGCCTTATTGGAATGAAGAAGTTGATTGCAGACAGGGGGAATGAAAAAACAGGGTGAAACATGAACAATGTTAAAAGAAAGCAACAGAAAAGAAAAAAATAGACATATGAATAGCCAAATAATGATTTTTTTTTAATGTTATGAGAGGAAGTGTTAAAAAAATCAGCTTTCCTGAAACTGTCTGAAACAATATTGGAAGACTTTTTCAAGCTGCCACTTCACAAAATATTCATACCACCTGTTGTAACTTTCCAGTGAACCAGTTATTCTTTTGAATATTTTTCTTCTACCCCAATCTTTTTGAATTTCACATTAGACTGACTTAGTAAACAGTGACTGATCAGAATTTTCCCCCCAAAAAACAAGAATCTCCATTGATGTCAATTTCATGGATTTCTATTCTTCCAAGAAATTGGTCACATATACTTCCAAAAAAGGTTATTCATATAAATGAATACTATTAAAGCAAACAATGTTGAAGATTACCTGGTTAATACAAAACAGCATTCAAAAGCAAAACAGAGGCACCTTGCTAATTTGCCTAAACGCCTGGGGGCCCAATATGAATTTCTGAACTTGGCGTTAAGATGCACGTGAACAAGAGATAAAAAGCCCGGGACTGTTTTATAACCAGTTGGTTTTAGTTATTCTGTTACTTCGCCGTAAGCGGGCTAGTCTATATGTTGTGTCAGGGTAAGTGTGAAGACCAGCAAGGCCCCGACACAGAACTGTCCCTACAATTAAAGCTTTGGGTCGAGGAGTCCGTTTTCGGCGAGCGTCACGAGACGGGAGGATTAGCGCGGCTCTGCTGTATCGCCGAGGCTAATGTAGCTCCGATCCCAGGGGAGCAGGGACGCCTCTGGCCCAGGAGCGCGATGGGGAGGGGGCCCTGGGGCAACAACGCACTGGGGGTGGGAAGGGGAGCAGGGCCCTCTCCAGCGTAGGGTGCGGGTCGGGAGCTCCCTCTCACCGCCCACAGTCCCCGGGGTGGCTCACCATCCTGCTCCAGTCCACTCGTCACCTCCTTCCCTTCCGCTCCGCTCCGCAAAGGGCCGTCAGGGATTCCGGAAGCCAAGGGCGGTTACAGCCTACGGCAGCTAGAAGGGATCATTCCGAGTCGGTACACACGAGGGCGCGTTCCTTCGCCGTCAGGCCTCGCGCTTCGCCCGTCACTGTCAGACCGCGAGGGATGAGCGTCATCCGGGTTCCTGAGGCGCAGTTGGCCCCGCCCCTCTAGCAACTGGCTGGTTTCCCGCCCTTTTGGGACGTGCTGTGTGAGGGGCGAGGCTGGGTTGGGAAGGCCTGACTGAGGTGCTGTCGCCCAGCTCCCGAACCATGAAGTGTGTGATTGGGGGGACCCACCTCAGAGGTAGCACCCGCTGCAACAGGGGGATGTGTGGGGCTGCTCAGGGGCAGGGCAAGGGGGCTACACGCAGGGGAGCACATCATTGGGACCATGAAATAGGGAGCTGCGCTGAGACCTGCTGCTGGGGACACGGTGACAGACCTCCAGAGTGGATGTTCGGGGGCAGAGAGTGGGGAGCCAAGGCTACATAGATCTCTTGGAACAACAGGTGTGACAGCATGTGGAGGCCAATGACGCCATATTGCTGCAAGGTGCTTCCCCCCCCCCCCCGCCACACACAGAGCCCTGTGAGTGTGTTTTGCCCAAGATCGGCGACATGAGGTCTTTCATCAACCGAAAGGTCTCCCTGGAGAGCACCTGATGGGAGCTCTGTTCAAATCGTATTGTCCCTACCTGTGAGCAGAGCTCAGTGTCTCCTCACGTGCATGCAGAACACGCAGCCCCTTGTGCAACATGATGAAAAGTACTGCTACTTATAGTGTTGTTTCTACCAAAGGCCTCTGGAATTTGGGTTTTAAGACCTGTCTATTTCTGTCATACAAAATATACTTTAAACAGATGTTGCCATGTAATTTAAGACAAAGTGTGATTTGGTGGACCTTAAAATGTTATTAGAAAGAGGAGGACTTTTTGGTATGTAAAATGGCTGCTTTTAAATAAAGACTCTGTCGCTCATTTGAGCAACTAGGGCTCTGCATATCCCCAACAGAATCTTTCTTTACATTAGTTTTCAGTGGTGTTTCAAAGGAAGTGCTGCAGCTGCCAGTGCCAAGGATCAGGGCCGGCTCTAGGATTTTTGCCGCCCAAGGCAAAAACAATTTTGGCCGCCCCCCACTTCCCCCGTTTTTTAATTACCCCGGCCCCGCCTCAACTCCGCTCCTTCCCTGCCTCCTCCCCCCAGGCTCTCAAGCCTAGGAGGGAGGGGGAGAAGCGGCGCCCGCGCCGCGGCCACTCGGAGTCTCCCCCTCCCTCCCAGGTTTGAGAGCCTGGGAGGGAGGGCGAGTAGCGGTGCGCGAGCGGCAGCAGCAGTGGAGGTGAGCTAGGGCGGCCGGGGCACATTTTTAGGGGTGGCATTCTGGCGCCGGCCATGCCGCCCCTAAAAATGTGCCGCCCCAAGCACCAGCTTGTTTTGCTGGTGCCTAGAGCCGGCCCTGCCAAGGATTCTGGGGTGCATAGATGGAAGGAGAGGGAGAGTCAGAAAATCTGGCCTCTAATTCTGACTGCTATTGATTTGCTGTGTGATCTTGAGCAAGGCACGTAACTTCTCTGTGCCTCAGTTACCCCATCTATAAAATGGGCATACTGGTTCTTACTCTCTTGTAAAAATCAATCTATGAAAGAAAGTGTGATACAAGTTCAAACTATTATTAGTAGTAATTCTTTGGATACAAGATTATCCCTACTTATTTAAATTTTATTTTAAAGAAAGCCAGTCTTAAGGAAGCATTATTCTGGTGATCATCTTTGACGTGGTGTTATTTTAAGATTATTATGGTGGGTTTCCCAGTCATTAATGTAAATTATCAAGGTACTCCTATATTGTTTCAAAAACTATTTTATTTCAGCTATGCAACCTTAAAGTTTCTTTCAATATATACAGCAATAATCTTTAAATAAGTTGGCTGTTTTTATGCCTAAAAGCTAGTAGTCCTAATAGCAAATTTCAGTACAAGACCTAGACCAAAACCATTGCTCTTGTGCTTCCTGATGGCTTTGTAACAGTATTTCAAGAACTAACTCTGTTAATTGAGTAGTGCGCCACTGCTGACCTGGTGCACAAAATAAAAACAAATACAGCTTGGTAATTTCAAGTTCGTGTTAAGTATGGGAGGTAGGGACTCAATAGGTCAAATACTGGAGTCCTACTCAGTGGAAATTTTGCCTTTAATAGCAGTCTTGATTTGGTGTTGTGCTTTTTTATTTTCGTTTAATGGCTTCAAGGCTCCATCGCCAGATTTTTCAGCTGTGACCACTGGTTTTATGTGTCTCAGTTTTTAAGTGCCCAATCTAATGTACCTTGGGGCTGATTTGTAGAAGTGCTGAGCAGTTGGGTTTGTGAGTGCTTAGCACTTCTGAAAATCAGGCCCAGGTTATCTCAAGTCGGGCTCCTGAAACTGAGGTACCCAGCATTGGTGGCAACTTTTCAACCTGTGGTGCATTTCTGTTGCCATTGTGAGCAATACAGAAGAGATTTGCTGTGAAACAGTAATTTTTGTCTTTATGCTCCTCATTACATCATAACTTTCCTTTAAAATAGATGTAGGAAAGTTAGAATTTTTCTCTCCTTTAATTAATCTGGAGATAATGTTATATCACTTTTTTTTTATTTAAAAATTACAAAATGCAAATTTTACATTTCTTTTGTCTTCTCTTACAGTGTTTGGACGAGCAATACATGCCATAGCACGAATTAGTGATGAGTTTTGGTTTGACCCAAATGAAAAAGGTGTAAGTGCATTTTGGGTTTTTTTAATCATTTAAATGGCTTTTTATGGGGAAATACAGTCTGAACATTAATTTAGGTAGCTTTTTGAAAAATTTTCTATACACGCCTTAAAGCATAATTCAAATGATCTTCCTTACCATCTCTCATTTTTTGCATGGCCACACTCCATTTTTTGGGTATCATCTTAACTATGCGAATGATATCATGGAAACTCTGTTCCTGCTTTTTATAGTTTTCCTGCTTTTTCATAGTTGCCAAACTAGAATTTGTCTATGACAGTAGGATCAGTGCCACAGATGTTTAATTACGACAAGTGGTCAGGGTCTCAGTTTTACATCTAATTTAAAATGACCTCTTAAGACCATATTCCAGCATTTCTTCATTTCTGACTCCTGAAGAATCGTCAATACCACTTCCTGCAGAATTTGGCATTTCTGTGGTGGTCTCATCCAGACATGTACTGACCAGTCCAATCCTACTTAACTTGTGCAAAGATCATAGCTTAAGTTGGGGTGATTGCAGGCCATCAGATAAAAAAATGAAGATATTATATTTTTAATTTGTAATGGAAACCAGCCTTCTCATATAGGCATTAATAGACCCATGCACACCCACTTGGATCAGGGAAAGGAACTATTAGATTTTGCTACCACAGGCTCTGATCCATCAATGCCCTTAAGCACAAGCTTAATTTTAAGCATATAAATAGTCCCAGTGGGGTAAAGTGGAACTATTCACATGCATTCATTTTGCTGAATTGAGGCCCTAGATTTTATCAACCAGTTCTGATTAGTAGGAGGAGTAAAACTGATTTGTTTAAACATGATGATGATGTATGTATATGCATCCAACCAACCAACCAACCATCTGCTGTATTTATTATTAGATGTATACATACATATATGTGTTTTGTTCTTATATATGATATTGGAGTATAGAATTAAATAAAAATATATATTTAATCATTTTTGATTATAGTTTCAAGATAATAAAATATTAATTTTTAATTATATTTTTAGCTTGCTCTAAGATCAGTGAATTCTTCTAGGTCAGCGTATGCATGTGTCTTCTTTTCATCTATGTTTTTTCAACATTACTGCTGGACAGCTGAACCTGAACTGTGTCAGAAAAAAAGACAGTCACCCCTTACGTGTAAATTAATAATGAAGGTAAATCTTAATGGACTAGTAAAGATGACTTTTTAAACAGCAAGGCAATTCAACTTTCTAATGGAATTGAGTGTTGTAGGGGACAGAATGATATATTACTCTATTTGAATAGAATTCATCCTTTGTGGAACTGGGGACCATTTGTGGCCTTTAAAGCTCTAACTTATAGCCCTCAAGCCAACTGAGGCAGGAACAAAATTTGTATTTATTTATGATTAGACATGTTCCCTGAGCTATGCCCTGCAGTTTCATCTAAACTGAAGTGTTTGAAATAGCTTCACCACTACAGAGAGGCAGTAGGGGGCACCATGTTTCTAATTGCCTCTGGCCATTTACCCTGCTGTCCCAAGAGCAGGGCTGGTGTGAGCCAGGAACACTCTGAGCAGTTACTGTCCCATCCCTGTTTCAGCTGTTCATTAGCTGCCCTGTTGGCCACCTGTTACATTGTAGGGGTGGGAGGAGAGGGGCACTCTGGTTGCTTCATTCCCTGCTTACTTGCCTGTCTGTGGAAGCTATAAAGATATCAGGACAGGAGCTTCAGAGGGTCTGCCTGAGACTAAGAGAGCAACAGGTAGTAAAATGTGGCTCACTTCTACCACACAGCCACCTAGGTCAGCCCAGGAGAGGGGAAAAAAGCAAAGCTGGAAACCAACAACTAGATAGGACTCCTTGATTCTCTACCCCAGCCTAGGTTACAGTAGTCTTTAGTCATGGACCAGCTGGAGTTATCCAGAGTGAAACACATACTCCAGCCACTATTCCTATCCCAATCCTCCCCTGACATGCCCCCCCCCCACCATGGGCTGTGGGAAGGAAGCTATTGAGGAGTCCTCCTGAAACCCTATTTCTTCTCTCTACACTACCTGAGCTTTCAAAAGGAAACAGAACACAGCAGGGAATCTGCCACAAACTACTGATTGTGGGTTTTTGACTTTTTGAAATAATATATTTGGTCCTCAGATTAGAAAAAATTGATGCTGCTGCTGTGCACTAAATACTATTCTTGGAAATAAAAATACAAATATATTTGAATGTACAGAACTAACTCATGGATCCATCTTTCTCCTGTGCTTTTGCTAATTTAATTTATTTTAATTGTGTGGTTGTGTAGATTTGCCTGACTGTAACTGTCATTGCTTTTCTTTTTAATGTTTCCATTTGTGATTCACATGCTATTATTTAGCATTCTTTGTGTTGCTCTTATGGTGCACACTGTTAATGCACTTTTTCTTACAGTCAGTCCTCCCTGTGTTTAGATGTCTAAACACACTAGAAAGGAATGTAGAGAAGTGCAACATTTATACAAATGTTAATGATTGTCATATAACTTTTAAGCTCTTCTGCAAACATGGTAGGTTAAATGTATATGACTTTATAGAAACATTAAGTACTTCAAACTTGTAAATATTTTGTCACCTTTGTATTTTTTATTATTAAACGTATTTTCTGTCATTGGCAGAATGTTATGCCTAACATTTTCCATTATAAACGATTCTTGCAACCATTTCCTATCTTTTGGGTGCTTGACTTTGCAAACTAAAAAGCTTTGCAACCTAATAAAATCTAAAGTGGTTTTGTATAATATAATATAAGACACTAGTGTATTCAGTTCTCATCTGCTGTTACAGACTGATTTTCTCTTTGGGCTGCAATTACGCATATGATAGATGATTAATTTTTGTTAATTTCCTCACAGTATGTAATATTATTACTTTTATAAAAGGTTGATGTTTGTTGATAGTTATTTAGGGGAACTTGTCATAACAGTTGTGTTCTACAAAATAGGCATTTGGTAGATGGAATAGCAGTTTCACATCATAATCATTAATGATGTTTGTTTTCATGCACCTGGTCCTGTACAGTAAACATGGTGACTATAACAAGATTTATTTTATGCCTCAAATTCTTTGAACGATCCCTGGTGGCATATCCTATACTGTGTTCATCGTCCAAATAAATGCATGTGGCATGGGGAATAGAACTCTCAAACTTCAATTCCCAAAACATAGGATACTACCGCACTGAGATAAAGGAGCTGCTCCACTAACTGCCAGTATAAGAAACTGATACATTTGAAGAGCTCTTGGGATAGTACAAGGAGATGTACCTAGGAGTAATTGGATGAAGTTAAGAAAGGGAAAATGTAGGAGAAATATCAGGGGAAAACTTGGATAGTGAAATCTGGTACAGTAACTCCTCACTTAAAGTCATCCCGGTTAACATTGTTTCGTTGTTAAGTTGCTGATCAATTAGGGAACATGCTCGTTTAAAGTTGCGCAATCCTCCCTCATAATGCTGTTTGGCAGCCGCCTGCTTTGTCCACTGCTTGCAGGAAGAGCAGCCCATTGGAGCTAGCTGGTGGGGGCTTGGAACCAGGGTGGACCGGCAGCCCCCCTATCTGTTCCCCGCTCCCCTAAGTTCCCTGTGCAGCAGCTGCCCAGCAGGCTATCAATTGCGGGCAGTTCAGCTGTCCCTCGCCCCACTGCCATGTGCTGCTTCTGCCCTCTTCCTTGGAACTGCTCCCAGTAGCCTCCTGCTTGCTGTGTCAGGGTGTCCCCCTGCCCCCCACCTATCCCTTCTTCATATAGAGCAGGGGGGGAGATACAACAGGGCTTAGGACGGAGAGAGCTGGCCGCAGCTGCTGTCTCAACTTCCTGATCTTTTTAAAGGCAATGTACTTAGAATGTGGTGTCAGCATATTTAAAGGGGCAACGCACATCTATCTCTCGCTCCCACACACAGGGTGTGTGTTTCTGTCTGCCATGCTGACTCCCCTCCCTCCATTAGTGCTGCTTTGTAGTGTGAGGCTACATTAACAACAATGTGTTAACCCTTGAGGGCTCAGCGGAATGCTAGTTCATCATTTAGCAGTAAGGCATTCCCTGGGAAATATCCCACCCTCTAACTTCACCACCTCAACCAAGCTTCACAATCGTTGCTGTGTACAGTATTAAATTGTTTGTTTAAAACTTATACTCTGTGTGTGTATAGTTTTTTGTCTGGTGAAAAAAATTTCCTTGGAACCTAACCCCCCCCCCATTTACATTAATTCTTATGGGGAAATTGGATTCGCTTAACATCGTTTCACTTAAAGTTACAGAGGGTCCTGTGGCACCTTTAAGACTAACAGAAGTATTGGGAGCATAAGCTTTCGTGGGTAAGAACCTCACTTCTTCAGCTTGCATCTGAAGAAGTGAGGTTTTTACCCACGAAAGCTTATGCTCCCAATACTTCTGTTAGTCTTAAAGGTGCCACAGGACCCTCTGTTGCTTTTTACAGATTCAGACTAACACGGCTCCCCTCTGATACTTGTCACTTAAAGTTGCATTTTTCAGGAACATAACTACAATGTTAAGCAAGTAGTTATTGTATAATAGTGGAATAGTTTCCTCAGGAAAGTAGTGAATGCTCTACTGCATGCACATTTAAAAACTATGTGGGACAAAATACTGAAAATGCATTATAGGGGAAAACACCTATTTTGGTAGTTAGATGGACTAGATGATCTAATCAGTCTTTTCCATCTCCAAGTTACATGGTTCTGTGAATTTATAACAGGTCTGACATATTCTGTCCAGTAGAAGACAGTGATGCACAATCACTTTCTGCTGGAAAATAAACCCTTAAAGTACCATTATAATTATTTCTGCCAGTATGGTACATAATGCATTTTCTAATATTTGAAACATACTTTTTTATATTAATAAGTGGAAACAATGTATTAAAGCTCAAGGCAACAAGTTTGATTTAGTGCTAGCTTAATGTGTGTGCTCCACTGAAATAACAGATTTCTTGCCATTTGTTGTTTGGGTTATATTTAATTTTGAAACTTTGCATTTTAGAGGTGTATTTGGAAAAATGTAACTATATAATTTTCCCTTTTTAAAATTTGTTTTAAATTTGTTTGTATTTTTATAAACTTGCTATATATATACACAGAGGACCTGATAGCAAAAGGTTATTTGATAACCTTTTATGTTTTTATTAATAAAAATTATTAATTTGAATAGTGGAGTAAAGAGAACCCAACACATACATTGATAGTGGAAACGAGCCTGTGACATCTCTCACTATCCACCACAGAGCACTAAACACCATCTTTCATAAAACCTAAGCCTCAGAGTATTTGGTATACTTGTTTGCAATAGTAAATGGTAATTAAGATATATATTCAGTAAATGTTTATAGAAGTTTATTATTTTCTTTTTTTTCATGATTATTATACCAGCCAACCACTCTGCCTTTCTTTTACATCCCAAACACCAAATGTACTTTCTGGGAGCTAACATGCCTGACACTTTGTTCTTGTGGATCACCTGAGATTCTCAGAGAACTCTTGAGACCCACAAGTTTTGGAAGTGGAACCTTCAGCTTTTTACACGATGAAAGAATTCCTAGAAAACTGAGTTAAAATTCATGGAGTTTCCTATACTTAGGCAAGCTATTCCCACACAGGGCAGAATGGGACCTCTGTTGTATTTTTTTTTTACAGAGATTAATGAACGTGTTAATTTAAATTTGTTAAGTTTAAGATAACATGCAAACATATGTTAATTTCTACACCTATGCTATATCTTTAGGTATTATAAAAACTCATAACCTGGCTTTTCATGAAAGTGAACCTTTACAAGCTGTTTTTTCAAGGCATATGTGTCCTAATGTACTGAAGATCCAATCAAGGTAATGAATTCAATATATTCTTTGTTTTAGAAATAATATAGGAGGAAGTAGTGCACTCAGAGTCCAATTAAGAGAATCAGGGATGAACATATTTTGGGCACCTAAATGTCACATAGTAATAAGCAATGTTTGATTAGTTTCACACTACTATACTAAATAATACAACATCCTGGGGACCTTAGGTCACGGCTGCATCAGCACTGCCATTAATCCAGCTTTGAGTAAAGACGATAATGTATAACTAGCAGCTTTCAGAAGCTCCTACAGAATATAATAAATACTGACGTTTGCTTGAGTTGTTTAGACAAAGGAATATAAAGGTAAAATTACAAAATTTATAATAGCTACTTACAGTGCAGTTCTACTCTGAAAAGTGGCTTTCTGTAACAAGCATGGAATTCAACATTTATTGTCTCTCCATGACTTCTAGATTAAATTTACTCAATTTAACAAAGAAAATGATGATTGTCTGACTGTCATTCCTGCAAACTCCACCTGCAGTCTGAAAATTGAGCTGGGTTATTTTGGCTCCTGCGTTATTGCTATTATAAAGATTCTAAAACTGAACAATTTTGTTGGTGATGATGAATGTGTTAGATATGAATCACGTTATTCTTCCTTAGTGGCAGCACTAACAAAGCACTAACAAAGGTAAAAGAGAGCAAAATTTTATTTTTATACAAAAAATAAGCTTTGACTGTATATATTCAACATTGCTGTTGAGTAAGAAGGTTTCATTTTTACATAGTCAACTTCTCTCACCTTAACCATCCTTTAGCATTATTGATAATTGTATATTATATTTTATATATTCACAATAAATACATTAAAGATTGGCATAGAGGAGAGATTACTGGAACTTTTGTGAAACGTGTTCTTTTACCACTAGAAAAAAAGAAAAATAGTACCCTTTGTTGTGTACTTCTGGTGAAGGGAACTGAGGTATATGGCAGGAGTGAGGAGTATGACTGTGATATTCTGAGTATTACTCCTGGCAATTAAAATCCTGATTGTGTCAGCTACACTACTCCCCCAGTTCAGGAGAAGATATGAGATATTTAATCATGGTGCTACAGTGACACTAAATGATAGCAAAGCACTTGCATTTCATATTTTGAAACAGGAAAAATAACTAAATGTTACCAAAACAGCAGAGTAGACTGATTTTCTCTCACAAAGCCTTGTTTGCAAAGACCTTATTATTGAAAATTACTGCACCTCTACCCCGATATAACGCTGTCCTCGGGAGCCAACAAATCGTACTGCATTATAGGTGAAACTGCGTTATATCGAACTTGCTTTGATCCGCCGGAGTGCGCAGCCCC